TTGTACAACAATGAATATTTCAAAATTCAGCCCCTCAGAAACGGATGCATTTTTGATTACACAAGTTTACAAGAAAAAAATGTGGCACCTGTTTTAGATCCAATATCTGATTTTATATATTTAAAGTCCAATCATTACATAAATAGTTTCTATTTTCTGGTGTCACATCAGGTTTTTAAAAAAAGTTACATTTAAAAATATTTGTAATATCAATAACGTGAAAATGTGAAAACAATGATCAAAACTAAATTAAGAATTGAAATACAGTTTATTTAATTTTTTTATATCCGAGTTAAGAAAATGAAAATTAAACACATTAACTTAAGGTCATTTCTTTACTGTTACTGTTACACTTTCCTGCTAAAATCACTGTTTTCATTCATATAAGCAGTCAATAGAACCGTTCTCGCTTAGACAAAAAACTTTTTGTTCCACTTGTTCTCTTGTGCATTCTAGTAGGATCATCTTATTGCAGTAACCAACAGTAGTCATTGATGTATTCAATCGCCCTACGTAGCGCCATTCAATGTCTTTAATATATTTGTGAAACCTCCGATCCTGTTCGTCACTCACTGCTCCCAGTGTTCCTGAAATGCAGACTAAATGGCAGTGAAGGAAATGCATTTCAGACTCTTGTACATTCTAAGGCTTTATATTTTTTTTGCAGCATATTATTTACATAATACTCATACTTTGGATCTTATTAATTTCCCAAGATTATATGTACTACTTCTTTTAAGCCAATCCAAGCATTACATAAATAGTTTCCATTTTCTGGTGTCACATCAGGGTTTTAAAAAAAGTTATATTTAAAAATATTTGTAATATCTTGAACGTGAAAATGTGAAAAAATGATCAAAACTAAATTAAGAATTGAAATAGTTTACTTTATTTTTTATATCCGAGTTAAGAAAATGAAAATTAAACACATTAACTTAAGGTCATTACTTTACAGTTACTGTTATACTTTCCTGTTAAAATCTGCTTAAAAAATCCTTTAAAATCTGTACATGCTTCACAATGTTCATCTTTAGCTAGTTCTCTAATCTGCGTCCATATAAAGATACTTCTTTGACTTTTCCTTCTAAGAATGTGGGAAATTTGTCGGTTAGGTACTTAAAACAACTTCCATTCTTATCCAGTTTCTTAGGAAATTGCTTCACTAATCCTAATTTAATGTGTAAGGGAGGTAACATAATTTTGTCAGGATCTGCTAAGCTGAATGTTCTTGGCACTCGGAATCAGTGTTTCTTCTAGGCCATTCTCGTGTTGTACAATAATTCTTTCTATTTCGGCTGTCTCGTTCACAAATGTGACATGGGTATTTGATGTAATCCTGCTGTCTTAACAACATTCACAAAGCCTTTAAAACACCGCAGATCATCCATTTATATTCCTCATAATATACTTTTTCGAGTAGCAAGTTAAGATTGACATATGTTTCCTTAAGATGGTCGCAATGTGTGGCAGATGCTAAAGTATTACTAATGTGTATCATCACACCTTTAAACTGCATTTGCTTGACTCAATGAAAATCCTCCATTCATCTGTTTTATACTGTCCTCCTAACTTATGAGATTTGTAATGTGATTTGCAATATACTAAGGAGTTTTTCTGATTAAGAAACCGTATTAAATCTTTCTCTCTGCCTGTAAACTGTAACATACGATCCTGGAGCTAAAATATTGTTTTCTTTTTTCTCAGACGTAAACTTAAAACTTCTGAAGCATCTTTTGAGAGATTTAAATCTCTGACCAAATCGTTCAGTTCTGTTTGTGTTAAAGTTTTGGGTTTGTGTTCGGTGCTTGTCGAATCAGATTTTTCAGCTGACTCGCCTGGCGTTGAACTTGAATTAGAATGCAGTACTTAAGAGGTTCGAAGGAGGTTCTGATGTACGAACGTCAGTGCCATGTGGTGCAGACCTTCTAGCAGACTTCAAATCATGATAAACCATTCCGTGTCAGTTTTTTGTATTGAATTCTTTTACTTTACAAATACAAAAATAACAATAGTTTTGATGGTTCTTTGGCTCGCGCCACACCATAGGAACTCCAGAACTCAGTGCCTTCGTCTTCCCCTTTGACCAGTTTAAATCTGAAACACTGCACACTTCACACTTTATGAGGACCCCATGGCTTATACTGATCTCCCAGTTTCGTTTCAAAATAAGCGTTATAAACACTTCTTACAAATAAGGTTATATTCTATGTTTGTTGCGATGATAAAATGTCCACAAATATAGCAATTGTATTTGGGTCATTCACACACTTTCTTTGCGTGGTTATAGCACAACAAATATTTAAACAAACACTAGTTCTTCGAAACACTGTGTGTGAGATATATTCGAATATCTTAGTCAACACTGGTTGATTTAACTTTTGCACGGTGTCTGCTATTATAAGCATGGGGCTATGTATACATGTATTCATAGGGCTATGAATATAATACTGTAACGACTATTACGTGCTGTTACAAAAACAAGCAAAATAAACTGACATATTCAATTATCACGAATAATATTTATTTGCGTTTCTACCATGTGTATATTTTCAATATATTTGTATCCTAATCACTGAAATTACTAAATATTGTAATGTGATAGAACAAAAGTAAAGGCATTATTGGATTCAGGTCACAAACTTACGTATTAAACAAATGTCAAAATCAAGAAAGGAAAATCGATGTTGACCTGTGTTATTGTAACTGTACATATTGTAACGTTTCTCCGTGGTGAAACACACGCGTGTACAATTTTAACAAAAATGTTTATTTGTAAAGAATTATACACTAAAAGTACTTGATTTATTTACAGATATATTGCACAGTCCTTGTGTTCTTCACTTGATTATGTTTCTTATACACGACTGTTTTCTTGATTATTTATTTACACTGTTCCCCTTCTTCTACACTGTCGCACAGCCCGATGCACTGCGCAGACCACAATTCACTGGGCATACCACAATTCATTGCGCAGGCGAGGGTCCACTGCACTGCTGTTTATCGCGATGCACACTTCACAGTTCAGCTTCCACTGCAGACTTCAGAAGGCTGTTCACCGCAATGCCCACTTCACAGCTCAGCTTCCTCTTCAGACAGACTACTGCATACCCACTCTGACGGACTGACTGCTTTCTACTTGTACTTCTTACTTCACTACATGCACTGACTGACTCGCGGCTGCTTACTGCCTGACTGACTTAGACTGACTCGCGGCCGCCGGCAGCGGCGAATTTATACCTGGCCGGCGCCCGTCTCGAGCCATCAGGAACTTGCGTAACACCTCTACGTGACTCGCGACTAACCCGGAACCGTCTAATTCGGGGTGCGCCAGCAGATGACGCAATCCGCGCAGCGAATCCGGGCAGATCATGCAATATTCGTTACAATATTTACCAAAACATGGTAAATATTACATGGTACAAATGGTTTTCTTTAAGACATTTATGTGCAATTCTTCGTGTTATGTCTGCTGTTTATTGAAGAGAATAACGTGCGGGAGTCCATGGAGCAAACAATTCTTTCAAAAGGGGTCGATGAAAGAAAAGTTTTGTGAATTTCTGGTTTAAGTGAAGACCCTCTTTCGACCCTACGGCAGCGCCACCTCCCTCTTCCGACCTTTGCCCTATCCTTGTTAACAGCTCGCACGTTTAAGACTCGGCAAAATTCCTTTATCCGCCCTGACGTAAGTTATTTACAATTCAGTTTGATTTCGCATCAATCACAGTCCCAAACGTTAAAACTTTTTGTAAATAAATTATTTTGTACATATTTTTCAGCTCTGATGATGATCGCGAAGATATTGAAATGATCTTAAGCCAATAAAAGCTAAACAACAGGTGTTTCTTAATGAAATGTGAACTCTTTAGCTTTGTGTGAAATATGATGCATAATTGCGTAACATGAATATGGAATAAAAAAACGATGATTTTGTGTTATTTACTGCCTTTCATGTAGCCCTTTCATCTACGATATATAACTCTTGTATGAAAAAAATCATTAACTTCCATGCTCTAATGATATGACATCAAGAAATGACCCCTCATTTCCCTTTGTTCTATTGTTAGACGGTTCCATTCTTTCATATGTGCAACTGATTCTTTTTTGTATAACCTATATTTTAATTTATGTTTGATCAGCGACGGTGACACAATTTTTATTATATTTATGAATGATTCAATTTCTAACCCAATTATGAGTTTTATCTAATCAGGTTATCATTGCTCTTCATTAAAACACTCCTGAGGATAATTAATTTCACGTCCAGTGGCTGGTACTAAAGATAAGGCGACGATCGATGTCCTTAGCGGAATTCACTTTCAAATAATGCCTACGTGTTTCAAATGTTAAAAAATCCACTAATTGTGCTTGATGGGATATAAAGGAAGTTTTATAAAGTTAATACAATTTTTACTTTCTCATAATAGTAAGCGAACGTTAGGTAATGCTGCAGGTGAAAGTTTTACTATAGAAGAAAGGTAAGCAAGTCTATTAGTACAGTAAAACCCCGTTAATCCGAACCCCGCTAATCCGACCGAGGGGGGGAAATATTTTTAGTGTAAAGAAAGGATTTTATAATTACTGATCAACTACTTATTAAAAGACAAGTCGAAATGAAACGTTTATTGCACTGATAACCACTGTGTATATCATATGTATTGTTGGGAATATTTAATTTGACACTAAAGGTCTGCTAACGCAACTGGCTATCTTCGATTACCATATTCGTCATCAGACAACAGCACAACAACAATGTCATCTATCCGTTAGTCGGGTCGTTCCTTGCCCGAACGAATATGGTGTGTGATTACAACAGGGATTCTCAGAAGATTGAACTTTGCTAATCCTTCGGCCAGGGTTCTTTGACTCGTACAAGTATGTCATGGCACAAGGAGGACTTTGCGTCCTTCAAAACTTCATTCTGTTTTGAATCAGGTAAACGTTTGGAAGCCAGTATGTGTATGGAACCATCTCCTCTAACGGAGGTGACCGTTTGTTCGCAGCTTCAACCAGCGCAAGCAGCCAGAGCGATGAGCCATGGGACAGTGGAATCCCCAATGGGGGCCGCTGTCGTCCTGCGGGAGGAGCCGTCCAAGAGGGCAGCGCCCGTGCAGAAGCAGAGTTCCTTCCAGGCCGACGCCAGCGCAGAACAAAATCGCCCTCCGGTGCACGGCGTTGCCGCCTCCACCACCACTGGCACCGCCACCGCCACCGCCACCGCCACCGCCACCGCCACTTCCACCACGAGAGCCGCCTCCAAGGATGCTGAGAAAGCTGTCACAGTAAGTCCCTGATTAATGTTCGTCAGTACATTATATTCGCAGGTACAGTAAACGCAGTATCGTATATTATAAGCGTACGTCAAAACCCACGATTGTCTTCTTCACTGCACGGCGAGTTTCCACGGTAACTACACTGTTCTCGACATCTACTGTCTACTCTTCTGCCAGAAAACTTGAAATGCGCCTGGCAAGTGAGAAAGGAGAATCCCCTGTATTTACCCGATCTAGTCGCTGTTCTGCCCAGTGTATGCCGGATTGCTGTCCTCGTGTTAACAGTTTGAGACTTGCTCCATTCTCTTAAACGTCCTTCACATTACACAACAACAAAATTAAACAAAAATGATGGAGCCATTATTTTGAAAATGTTCCAAGGGCTTGTCCAGGGGCTTTTCTAAAGGGTATAGCCTGGTAAAGCGGTGAAAAGTGCCCCCAAACAAAATCGATATTGGCGATGCTCATATGAAAGAGAATACAAAATGTCGTAGATTCGCAAAAAATCAGCCACGTATGGCAATATGTTGTAGAGATACCAGAAACTTGTTTTTCGGGTTTTATTTTTGCTCAGCTTCTATTCCATGAACCAGGCTGAGAAAAATCAGAGACTGGGACAAATAGTTGCATTAGAAGGTATTTTTTGTCAACCAATTTTGACTCAAAATTTAAATAGAAAAAAAATTGGAAATATTTTCGACATTATTACGTTGGAGTACTGTCTTAGTTTTTCTCCCTAGAATGTGTCTTATGACGTTATATAACATATATTTTTTTCAGATTTCTAAACAATAGGATAGACGTCTTAGACGATAGTGAAAAACAATTAAACAAATTTTATCAGTTTAAAAAATTGAAATTCGCCTGCTAATGTGTACAGAATGGAATATTTCAAATGGAAAACTGCATGAAACAGTTTTCTTTTAATTTTCTATTAATTTGTTATTATGGAACCAATTTAACACATGGTATATTGTTCTATTTACGGTTTCTTTATTGCAAGGAATATCTTATCTGTAAAGAGAACCGTTCTTCCGTTTCGATTCGTCTAGGACATAAAATTTAGGATATCTACCTACTTGCCCTAACACATTCGTTCTTTTCGCCTTACTACGTACTTACGTAGACATTAGATTAGATTTATTAATAATTCTGCAATTAAGTGTGAGAACTTGGTGGCAGAATACACTAAC